TATAATCCACAAGAGTATGTATTCATTTAGGTATGGTTACTTACCTCGCGAACAATCTCCATTGTATCCTCAATTTCTTTTCTGTGTGCTGCAATCAGAGCTTCTTCTTCCTGCCAAAGTCACGCAGTGATGGTTATGATAAGACATTAACAGAATTATTAGTATATGTGTTTGAACCATTGCTGCCAAATCAGTTTCACAGATTCGTCTCATGTTTTTGAGGTTTAAGTGAGTATATACCTCGAGCAGTGCATCAATGTTTTCATCAAGCGAAGGGTCGGTTTCATATTGCCTTGAAGCAGTTTCATATTGCCTTGAAGCAGTCTCACTTGTGTTCTGTATAAAGTTTGTCAAGGAAGGGATATCTGACGACCTGACATCTCTCTTAGACAAGTTTTGTTGTCCATCTGGTTTTTCTTCCCGCAAACCTTTCCCACGAGGTGGTGACACTTTCTTCACTTTCTCTTCACGGTCTGAAGTTTCTTGGGAATATGAAGACATGTGGTTCCTCTGACTAGTGGAGCCACCAAATGAATTGTTCGTCTCTGACCTTCCCTTGTTCATTGAGATTGTTGGGATTCCACTTTCCTCTCGATAATTTGTAGGCTGTCTTAAGTCAGAAGTAGTGTAGCTGTCCTTCTCGACCCTCCTCCTGGTTTCCTGTACATTCACTTCCTGTGGAGGCTCAAAGACATCTTCTACATCATTTGAGCCCAAGAAAGCATCCTTATTAACCGGAGGCATTGAATTGGCGGTTTGATCTTTCTTGCTATTTCCACTTTTAGATAGACTTTTGACCCTGATTATTTGGTAAATAACCAACAGGTTAGGAAAAGATAAATTGAGAACTTGTTTCAAGACTAGAAGTTTGTACAGAGCATACCGATCAGCATATCTTAGAGTATTGAGGGTATGTTCACACGATCCTGCATTTGGAGAAATGCAAGAAATCATCACCGTTCTTGAATTTCCCACAAATGAGTCACGAAGCACTTCAGTTAGTTTGCTTCCACGAAATGGTATATGTAGCTGGTCATTGTCCAGTGCACGTATACATTCCTTGAGAGCCAAGAGACTCTTATTGATTTCTGCACCTTCAATCCTAAGCAAAAGCCACCATGAAAACCAAACCATTAATTCAGGATAGTGGTGGTCCTAAAGTAAAAAGGTAGTAGCATAGTCACTCCATGTTCTCAATACCCACAATTCCAAAAAGGGCATAAAAAAATAATCGACATATTAGCGGTAGGTCAAAACTCAAACTACTTAACCACAGGGACAAAGAGAATCCTTACCTTGTCTGGCGGTCATTGTCTGTGGTGTCTGCACCTCTTTCACTGCCAGCAAGGTCGATGAAAGAAATTTTTCCAACAACTTTCCCACGCAATTCATTGGCATCATTATTATTACGTCTAGTTTCTTTTACCTCAACATGCTTCTTTACAACAAGCTGTAAGATAGCATGTGATCTAGAAGATTCCTCATTTGCTCCAGTTGACCCTGTACTCCTTTCGGCATTTCCTTTCTCGATAAATTCTTTTACAATCTGAACATCTGAAACTTCATACTCTTGCAGGCCAACAATGCAAACTTGTTGTCTACCATCTTCTCGCATGCAAAGTTTCCTACATGACAATAACTGAATGATTTAGACATCAAAGCATGCATTTGCAATAGTGAACAACAGTGAAAGTATGAAGACTGAGTTGATGGAAAAGTGCCAATGTATACAATTTAATGACATCAGTATAACAAGTATAAGCTATAATATGCCTGATCAATATATATGCCAAAAGAAAAAGAAAACATAAACCTCTCACAAATATGACATTTAAAAGAAATGAGAAATAATAAGAACACTAACTTTCTCTCACTGAGAAGATCGAATAGCTTTCCACCATATATCTCAAAGTAGCTTAGCCACAACTTAAACCTCTGCTTGCTATATACTGGTTGACGCAACAACCTCATAAGATCTTCAACAGCTCGTATGGGCAATGGTTTCATTGTGAATGTCTTACCACTACCTAGATAAAGCAAAACATCATCAGGGCCATGAAAGTATTAAGAAGCTATTATCATCTAAAACTGGAATCTGTTAGCAATAGTAGACGTATCAGAACTAGAAAAGCGTTAAAGTATCATTTCCAATGAACACTAATGACATTGCATACCTGTTTGACCATATGCAAAACATGTAGCTTTAGTTCTCTGGAAAATAATGGGAATTATCGGCTCAATTGTGGCCCGATACACCTGTCCAAGTGAACAACAAACAACTTCAGAGCAGAGAAAAGCTTCTGTAAAATTTTATAAGCTAATTGTATACATTCATCAATCCAATCTGGATTAACAAGGTGGGGGAAACCACATGCTACTCTAGTTAAAAGGTAACTAAGGTATGTTGATCTTGACATAAATCATAATTATATCACAGCTCGAGGATGCATCATGAACTCCTGCAAGGATTTGCTATGAACTCCAATACATTCGAATTGTTAAATTACCTCGTCATTTGAAACATCCTCATCTAGAACAGCATCAAAGCAGAACTCATGCTTTTCAACATAAGCAGTCAAATCCACCTGCACCAACAAGATTACGATTCATTCAATATCAGAAAATAAAATATTAAATGAAGAAAATATATGACCTTTAATAGCAGGATGCTATTGTTCAGTTGTTCAACTGAATCATGGATGCCATTGTTATCTTCGATAAGAATACACACGAACCTTCAGCTTGGGCTCATGGACAGTCAAAGAATTATCAGATACCGTCACGACATCATCCTCCTTTCTAGCTGTTTCTTTCTTATTTAAAGGTCTTTTCCTTACCTAAAGACCAGAAAAAACGGTTTCCCAGTGATCCCTAGTCATAATGAACATTGCTTATAAAACATTCAAGTAGTAAAGAAACAAGTCAGTGCTCAAGTGAATAACCTACCACTACTTTAATCTTGGCTACACTGTTATTTTCTTTTTCACTCTTAGGCATCGAACCCAAAGGTTCAGCATCTGTTTGTTGCCGTTGTTGATGATTAGCTGGCAAATTAAAGTCTTCTTCAAATTCTTTATTCACACTAGGCATGAAAGGTGACGGCTCAAAGGGTTCGGTAATCACATGCTGCAAAATGAAAGGAAAGTGACATATTACAAAAGCAATGAGTTGGTAATTTTCACATGGAAAATCGCTTTCTTTAAGTGCTAGCAAACGCAAGTGGCATTTTCACACAGAAGCTGGTCTAACGACAACAAAACCAAAACTGACATATCTCGCTCAATCCTTTCGAGTGTCAAGATCAAAAGTTGTCTAACAGAAATTTCACAGATAGATTGCATGCACACCAAGCCAATGTGTTAGGTGGGACTCAATATGACAATATAAGATTGGCAGTAATAGTATTAACAACCGAGATGTAACTCAAGAACAGATGATCTAATGATTATAATTTATGGCCTTTCTGTTCTCTGTGGGCACTAATGGGCATAACTATGAACAGTCTCCGTACAAGTTCATCTTCCAAACGTACCTCAGAGAGAAGCTCTGTATCATCCATTGCATGAAGATCCATTAATCCAGCTCCAAAATCACCTCTGAACTCGGGTGAAAAAAATCCTTCTGAAGAGGACATGGCCGCTGATGTCTGAGCAGTTGGTGTATATGATTCAGAAGTCGATTCCCCGTTAAAATTGAGATTTCTCATTAGTTTGAACAGTCTTTGCTTTTCTTCAGCAGTCTGAGCTCCATAACCCTAGCAATACCGCAAACAACACAAAGAAGGCTTCAATAACCAGAACCCCGTTCATGCGAATGAAAAACAAG